CACCTCTATTTGCACAAATGTTTTTGAAGAAGTCTGTATTTTATTTACTACTTATATTTAAGGACTTGCTATAGTTTGGCTAAGCTTTCAGCAGAAACTTCTCCATGGCTTCTCTAATATGTCATCTTGCTACAGTAGCAAAAAGGTGTATCTACTTTAGTGTCTATAAAGCATTCTGAATTTTCTATGAATGAACATCAACACATTCAATTTATTACTATTTCCACTACTACACTATCCAACAGAAAAACTTGTTTTTATTGATGAATGCCTCAAAGAAGATTCTCAAGGCCAGTTATAAGCTCCACCATGTGGGAGAGAAAAAAGCAGGTCTGACAAATTACCATGTCAGAAGAGATAAAGCAGCTTACGCCTACAGTAGTCTGATGACTGATGTTAACACTGGATGGAACCCAGCATGGATTAGCCTCAGCTCGATAAGTGACTGTTCCTGTGCTGACAGAAATGTAAACAACAGTCCATCTTTAACACATTAGCTTTGTATCAAAAGATGAAAATACCAAATAAAAGAAAAAATGTCAAAAAACTACTTTAAAGTAGAACATAAGCTTCAGGGGTCACCTTACCCAGAGCTGCTACCCTCCACCTCAAGTTACATACCTTGGAATGGTCAGCCAGTACAACAATTCTGGTGCAAAATTAACTGTTCCAGTACAGGGCTGTGGATTTTTTTGTTCTGCTTTATTTCTAAACATGGCTGTTTCAAGCCTAGCATTCGCTCAGCCAAAATGCATATGCCTGCACTACAGTTAAGGAAGTGATAGTGTGTTTGGAAAAACACTGTGCGATTTCAAAAGATAACAACAATAAGGGAAACTCCACACAATACTCACTTTTCTCTTCTGGTTTTCTCTAACTTGTCTTTCAAAACCATGATCTCCTTCCTGAGGGCAAGCTGCTGGCTCTCTGCATCCTGCAGTTCTTTCTTCAGATTTTTTATTTCATTAGCATGCATTATTTCACGTTTGGATAGTTCCTCTTCATAGAAAACACTTTTCTTTTCCAGGTCTGCCTTTAATTTAGTGATCTCTTGCTGGTGTTCTATACTGCTTACCCCAGGTGAACGACCAACCTGTTTTTGCTAAAACAAACAGCCCCAAATTAGCACTCAGGAATGCTGAAAATGATGCTTAATAACAACTCAATATTCATAAGTCTACATTTAGAAAATATGCTAGTGAGACACTTGAGTCAAACATATCTACCTCATTTTTTTCAAAATTTTTTAAAGCATAAATCTGAATGGTACTCTAGCATTTTGTGATTTAAATGCAGTAATAGTTTTCAAGCCACTGAAAATCTGATCATTGCTTTGAATGTCTCTGGCCACATTCTGACTCCCCTTACATGCAGTCAGATAGTGACCACAGAATTAGAAGACTTATATGCTTCCACTCACAAAGTTGACAGCAACAAGTTCCATTGACTTTCAGTAATGTAGAATAAGGACTATTATATACAGTCAATATATTTTAAAGGACAAATAATTTTTGGAAAAGCAGAGGCTTAATTGAAGGCTAAAACCTAGCCAGAGAAACACTATATAGGTTGTAGCAGTCAGGAGCAAACCTGATTTATTTTACTAAACCAGCCATTTACATCATAGTGGATTAATAGGAAAAACAAGCTATAAATAACCACAGTAATGATTTCACTTTTTGCAGTTGCATAGCTCTCTTAGTGAGGTCTTCTGGCATTTCAGTAGTCTTTACACAGTGCTTCAGGATACATACACATTTGCACCAAATGTTGCAGTAACTAAACTTAATGTCCTGCCATAACGTAGAGGAGGAGTAAGATCAGGTTCAAAATGAGATAGTGGCATGATGTGCACTGAAATCCAAGTATGGAAATATGCTTTAATGCAAGCATATGGATAACGTAGTTTGGAATTTCTTCTGTTTTTTAAAACATGTAATTAAAGGTAGCCTAAGGAAAGGAAATTACTTCATAAAACTATTGTGTTTTGAGAAAGTGTAGGTAACAGGAAAACCTACTTTCCTATGGTGACTGTCTCACACCTTTAGGAGGATCAAATATATTTTATTAATTATACTTCTGTTCTTATCATGAGACACTAAAATCCTCTCAGTCAACCTTAACTGGGACATGGCTTTGGGTAATTTTCTTTTATTGATATATGAACTGGCTTTAAGAGCTAAATGTCATTGCAGAACATTTAGATGAGCTGAATTTCTACCTTGACAAATGTTGTGAGAAAGCTGGGCCTTGCTGTTAGTATCAGCAAAAACCTGCAAAACCCTATAAATGTACAATCCAGAGATGTGCTTCTACTGCACTATTTTCTCTAACTCATCAAAATAACCATCTGTTTTGACCTAAGAGTAAAATCCTGCCCTTAGGATGCAGAATGGTAAATTGGAGAAAGATGCCATCCAAACAGGAGATGGCTTGGAGAAAGAAACATTAAAGATAAAAAAGCAAGCAAGCAAGCATAGGAATTTTCTTTCATGCACAGGCCATTATCTACTGAACTTGTTTGTTACTGCCCAACACACCAAACTGCCTACACATACATGGGAATGGAGCACATAAAACATTTAGGCTTTGCAACATCATCTATCAGGTACATAAAATGTTTTAGTGGCCTCACAAATTTTTTACCACAATGAAAAGATACTATTAAGACCATAAGACAGATGGTGCAGTAGAAGAGAATGCTGGACCGTATTGAACAGTGGTTTAGAGAACCAGAGAGAGATATAGTTAAGCACAAATTCCAAATCGATGTTTTCATATGTGCCTGTTTCAAGAGGACAATTGAGACATATTGCGTCTCCTGGCACATGGACAGATGCTGTTTAACGCACCCCAGGATGTGCTTTGCCCTCTTGGCTGCCAGGGCACCCTGCTGACTCATATTGAGCCTGATTTTTGTGAAAATCCAAACACCATGACATCTACCAGATCTCCTTTGGAGCTGAGCTGGGCTGCCTGCAGGAGGCTCTCACAGCTGACCTGGGCGATGGCTGTGCTGTTGGCGGGAGATTTAAACTGCCCCAGGGAGTGCAAGTGACCCAGAGTGCTGTGAACAGGAGCAGGCAAACAGGAGTGGGGCATGGCAGTGGGGGCAGCTCACGCAGGCAGGGCGAGCAGGAAGGGTACAGATACCCCTTGCTTCTTTTTTTCTTTGTTTTTGCTTACATCTTTTGCCCTTAGCTCAGCTAGACCCAGCAATGGTATCTACGCAAGCAGAAACTGTTGCTGCTGCTACCAGGAGGAAAGTTCTAATCCAGACAGAACCCTCCGTGCAGGACACAGCTGTGCAGATCACTGCTGCACAGAGAGCCTCGGTCTGGCACTAGTTTCAGAGGACAGTGTGAGTCACACCTGCGTACAGTGTGAGCAGGTGAATGATTAGCTGTGCCTGGGGGCAGAGCTCAAGGAAGAAGCAGAGAGGTTAAGAAGCATTAGGGACAGTGAAAGGGAAATAGACTGGTGGAGTCACACCCTTCCGATCCCAGAGGAAGTTCAGGCAGAAGCCCTGCCCCTTCTGCCATCAGGCAGAGGGAGCAAACCATGCAGATGGGGGTAATGGAAACAAGTCCTTGCTCGAAGACATAAAAGAATTCTCCCGACTCCCATCACCTCCCCAGTTGCCCTTAAAGAACAGGTATGAGGCTCTGGACCCAGAGAGTCAGGCAGAGGACAGTGATAAGGATGCTCCAGCTGGAGGGTCCCCAGCTTGCACCTCATCTACTAGACGGAGTAGAAACGCAGCTATAAAGACAAAAAGAAGGGTAGTTGTATTAGGGGACTCCCTTCTGCAGGGAACCGAAGGCCCTATATGCCGACCAGACCCATCGCACAAGGAAGTGCTGCCTACCCAGGGTTCAGTAGGAGACTCCCTGAGCTCATTTGGCCTCGGATTACTACCCACTGCTAGTAGGCCAGGCTGGCAGTGATGATATTAATGAAAGAAGCATTAGGGTAATTAAAAAGGATTTCAAGAAACTGGGCAGACTAGTTAATGGGACAGGAGCACAGATGGTGTTCGCCTCCGTTCCTGCAGTAGCAGGGATGGATGAGGAAAGGAGTAGGAAACCTCACCTTACCAATAGGTGGATAAAGGATTGGTACTACAGGCAGAATTCTGGATTTTTTGACCATGGGGTATATTCTGTGTTGCCAAGCCTGCTGGAGTAAGATGGACTTCATCTCTCTAGCAGGGGCAAAAGAGCTGTACAACCCATAAGTTGGCAGGGCTGAGCAGGAGGGCTTTAAACTAGGTTTGAAGGGTGAAGGGCTGGAAACCAGGCTTTCCAGAGATGAGCCTCAGGGTGCGAAGGCAAAGTTAGGAGTTAAATCATCAGCCCAGCTGAAGTGCATGTACACTAACACATGCAGTGTGGGTAACGAACACGAGGAGCTGGAGGTGACTGTGCAGCAGGAAAGCTATG